GCACCGGCAACACCACGGAGAATGTTGGCACCAGCACCCTTGAAGAGAGACTTGACACCCTCGGCGGCAACGATCTGGCGAGCGGCGTCCATGGTACCCTTGTACTTGACGGCCTCACCGGAGGTCATCATCATGCGGCGACGGATGGTGTCAAGGGGGTAGGAGGCGATACCGGCACCAGTGGTGACGGCCCAACCAAGAGCGAAAGAGGCCAAGAAGTTGCCCTCGAGGGAACCGGTGAGGAGGACGGGCTTGATCGAGTCGTACATACCGAAGTACAGACCACGGTAGACAACGATACCAGCAACGGAGGGCATGAAACCACGGTAGAGACCGCCGATACCGTCGGAGGCGAGGGTCTTCTTGTAGACGTCTACGAGACCGTTGAACTGGCGCTCACCACCCTTCTTGGCCGACTTGGCGTCGTTGGCGAGACGGGTACGGGCGTAGTCGAGGGAGTAGACGAAGAGGAGGGAAGTGGCACCGGCAGCCTGTTGTTGTTAGATCATGATTTGGCAGCCATTGAACAGATGTACTTACACCACCGGAGGCCAAGTTACCGGCCATCCACTTGGCGTAACCGTCACGCTCCTTCTTGTAGGCGAACATGGACTTGTAGGTGTCGCGGAAAGCGAAGTTGAGCGCCTGGGTGGGGAAGTAACGGATGACGTTGGCAGTGTTACCACGCCAGAGGGAGAGGACACCCTCGTTCTTAGCGGTACGGCTGAAGCACTCGCCAATGCCATCGTACTTGCGGTCGAGACGACCGGACTTAAGCATCTCATCCTGCGGGGTGGGTCAGCAATTGTCGACATGCGGGGGTCGAGGTTCTGATAATGCTTACCTGGTTCTGGATGAGGAGCTTAACACGCTCGATGGGGGCAGCAGCGGTCTTCGAGACGGCAGCGGAAACACCGCCCACTGATAAGCTGTTAGTGGCTGTTGCGAGAGCAAAACTTGGCCGACAAGGCTCGCATCACATCCAATTGCCAATGGCAGACGGATTGATGGACCTGTCGATGGAGATAAAACGTACTCAAGAAGTCCACCACGAAACCTGGCATCCCGAAAAGGGACTTGTCTGCAATCTGGTCAGCGTCGGCTCGTGCAATTCGTAGTTGTGATACACACCCTGCTGTGCGCCCGACATCTTGGATGATGTATGGAGGGGAGATTGGTTGAAAAAGGTGAGGTTGCAGATGCTGGTGCTGCGTTGAGGGAAGAACGGTGTATTTGTAGCGAAGCTGCGACAAATTCTGCCAGCAGCGCTAATTCGCACTAAGCCAATCACGTGCTAGTGGTCTTGCCCGCTATCCCGAGCGCACCCTCATCAACACCTCGGAAACGCGGGTTGGGACAATGGTGAATGGAAAAAAGTTCTTGTGAGGGTCGTCGCATTGCAATTGGCTTATTGTACGTTCCAATTGCTCTAGGTTTACGGCCTGCTCTGCATACAATTCACGATCCTCTACCTCTTGATCCCAACGGAACCCCCACAAGCGTTGCCGTAGCAGCCACACAATGCCTATGGCTTGACGAAATCGCGTCTAAAGGCAGCCCGCAGCCGTCAATTCAACATGGAAAATCCACTGTGGGGATGTACAAGTGTTCACATGCCTCTTCCAGCCCAAGTCTCCCACCCTCTCCTTTCTGCGAGCCACCATTGTCAGGGTCCGCCATTTTTAGGTCGGGTAATCTCGGGGACGGAACCTGGCTCGGGCCAACAACTAGCGGCGAGGGCCTCAAAGAACGTGGGGCCCGAAACTCCAGGCGGCGAATTTTCCATCGCGCTGCCCGCTATTGGCACAGGAGCCGTGGTTCGCGAAGCCTCGCCTGGCTTCTAGGGCTGCCGAGATGCCTTTCCAAGGCTGCCATGGCTGGATGCGTGACGTTGGTGTTGCAGCAGCTTCGTGATGCTGGCTGACACCGTATGTCGGTGTCGGTTGTCGCTGTCTGACGCTCTCCAGTACCCCTCCGACGGCAGCCGTCTCAAGTCATCCGATCACATCGGGGATATCACTAAGACTTCGCCAGTCATCGGAAGGTCAAACCAGTATCGCGTTCATGGAGAATGCTGAACTCGGCGGTACTTCAAGTTTTACCACCGCGAGAACACTTGCGTCATTGCGTCTTGTCATACCGTGTTAGAAGGAGGTGGGATGAGCTACCATCAGCTTTCTATGAACAACCTGTTTTCTCGAAGTCACTCTAGCTCTCTTCTGCACGCTCCTACTGTGCAAACCATGCTTACTTGCTGGTAGTATCGTGGCCGTTGTATACAGATATACTCCCTTCCATCTCAAGCCCAGCTCATCTTCCCTTGCAGCATACAACGCATCTTTCATTGACTCTGAGAAGTATCATTGTAGCCCCAAGCGTATACATGGCTCAGTCTCAGCACAGTGAACATCCACTAGCTGTGTTGTCAGCTGCAGCATAGGAGATTGGTTGCGAGACCAAAACCATTTGCTCATACTTCGCCGTCACGCTGGCACGTGAAGGAGACGATATAGCTGAAGCATGCTGCGGGCGCAGGCGCACCATACGCACTACACTTAGTCGACAAGCACGATCTGCAATCGGCCAATGCTCGCGCCATCTATCAACTCAAGATGTATGTGAAAGCTTCAACATGGTTGTATTGGGTACTGCCCATTCTTGTCCAAGACTCTCCGACAATTCCAGAAGACGACGAACCGGAGCCAGTACCCAAGACAGGTTCCAAACCAGTTTGTACTCTGCCAAACTGTACCAAGACCGGAGACAAGTCCTGTAAGAACAAGAGGGCTTTGCAAGAGCATGTCGTCCCCAAAGCACACCGAGTGTTATACCGCCGCGGGCCCAGTTGACGGCTGCCCACGCACCGACTTCGCATCATTTATCCATATCGACAAGCACATGAAAGCAGATCACCTGGGATACGCCATGGCCTTGTACGACCGCGACACGATTATCACATGCCGATCTGAGGGGTGCGAAGTCCGCTACAAAGCACACGTCCCCTATCGTGACCACCTGCAGAAAGAGCACAGAGTCAATCAGCCAACTGTGCTCGAGCAGGAGAAGCAAACGTTTCATTCCTGCTACGTAGAAGGATGCACCACGCCCCACAAGTTCAGCAGTCCATCAGAGTACGACTCTCATCTGATTCAGACCCACGGCCTTCACACCCCAAACCAACGGAGGATCTTCTTGAAGGGCACGGCGTCTCGATGGGTGGAGAGAAATGCCCCCTTCATATACAACGATCCACTTACATGAGCATGAGAGTCTGGCATACTACGACTATACAGATCTGTTCGTATCGTATCTATAGCAGGTATAGCCCGGATTGGTCACACGTCGCTTGTCGTCATATCATGCTGTCACGGAAGGTCTTCGAGTTATAGAAACAACGCAGTATGTATAGTATGTAGTTTCACATACATACAAGCAATAATGTCGAGGTGATATGTACTTCAGAACCGTGCACGATCGAGCGATGCTGTTCTGGTATCACCGGGTTCTGTACTGAGACTTCCGTCATGACGTTGTACCGACTCCGCTTTCCAAGTGTTCATTACCGTACGTCTTCCCTTGACTGCAGTCAAACATCGCATTGCTAACGCTTTGCAGACTATTTCCTGTGCGTGGCAGTGATCAGTTTCGTAAGCGCTCCCTCCAGGTCCTGCACTGCTACCGGTCTTAGCATCCATGGACGATGTACAGAATTCGCTTCTGGGGCGTATTGCTACAGAATATCGCGTCTCCGGTATCGGGGAAGGCAACAGCATTATTCTCAACGGTTGCCATGCCAGTTTGCTCAAGCTAGCAAGACAAGCGGGTGAAGGCGGCTTCACGTTCAACTTTACCGACATACCATTGACGTCACCTTGTTTATACGGTCACCCACCTTAAACTAACAAAGCGTGAGTCACTGCGACTTCCGCTGCTGCCTAAATAAAAAGACGTCGACGCTATAACAACCCAATCCCCACCACCACCTCACCACCACCCGCCCCTCCTCTCCAACAATGGCGACTGCGAGAAAGACATCTGAGAATGTGAGTACTCGGTAGCAACCTGCTTCCTTGCGCGACCTTCTCAGAACCGTCTTCTCGCAGTCGCCCGACAAGCTTTCGCGCCACCATGCGAGCGCAGCCGATCGAGGCATCAAAACCAACCAACACCCCCCCAACTTTCTGATTATCCTCGCCACTGATCGTCACCCAAAAGCGACAGCGAGAAAGACATCTGAGAGTGTGAGTACTTGGTAGCGACCTGCTTCCTTGCGCGACCGTCTCAGAATCGTCTTCTCGCACGCGCTCGACAAGCTTTCGCGCCACCATGCGAGCGCAGCCGATCGAGGCACCTAAACAAACCAACACTCCTATATTTATCCAACAATCACAGTCACTCTCACCTTCACTGGCCTTGCAGAGTCTCTCGACAAGTTATCGCGTCACCATGCGAGCGCAGCCCATCGAGGCACCTGAAACCAAACATCCCCATCAAATCACACTCTTCTTTCGATTGGATCGATATGCCGAAATACCTCTTTCAACGCTATTATAGTCTGCGAGACTGGTCATAGGAACAACATATCACTCGCCAAACCACAGTTTTGCGATTTCCATGAACCCTCACCTTCTACCACGACAACAGCCACGCGCTACGACCAACAAGCACCGGGGTGAGACTGCCTTCTTATGTATACGCAACTGTGCATCTCTGCTAGAGTGCAACTTCCGCTCTATGGTATCGGAAAGCGTACACCACGAGTAAGAAGCAAGCACAAGCTTTTACAGGGAAGCTACGCAGGCACAACGCCCAACGGGAACGGAGTTCGAATCCCCTGTCCTCGGTACTGCTTCGCCCCTACTGCACGACAGACGAGGTGGTGGTCATTCAAAATCCACTATCAGCTCGCCATACCTCTCATCCTCCATCCTCCTTCACCTCCGTTACCTCCTTCACTCCCCTCAACTCCTGTTATTCACCTCCCCGTTGTAGCTGTCACAATGGCCGCCTTCAGAGAGTTACAAGCACTCGAGACATCGGATGGGACCAATCACGACTTCATGCTCGCCGCAGGTGTGGACGACGACGACAACAACAGTGACGACGGTTTCTTCGAAGAGCTCGACCATCTCGGCCACACACCCCATGAACGTCACGATTCCAACGGACTTACAAATACCTAATGGGCGGAGCAGCTGCGAAACCTGAGGAGCTCTATTGTTCAGCCTGGATCGTACACTCGACGACGCTTCGTCTCGACATGGGGTACAAGGTTTGACGAGTTTAGGAAGGACATTCTAGGGCATAAGTAGGTTTCATTCTACCAATGGTTTTATTTGTGGGCTGTGCTAACAATTATACCAGTAACTCCAAGGTCTTCATTTTGAACGAGCTCGAGCAATTCATACTATATTACTTTCGCCGATACCAGCCGAAGCCAGTCTGCACGGACAGTGACGACGAAGAGGCCAACGAACAAGGCGACATCGTTGAAGAAGCGCCCATCGATTCGAAGCCGCGAGTGAAATGGTCGTACAACACACTTAAAGAAGTGATGACAGCCGTCACACAGCGAGCCAGCTTCAGATGGAACGACTTCAAGCTCACCACACGTCAAGAAATGCGAGCAAAAGGTGCTATCGAACGGACGCTCAACGACGGCTATGCATCCAAACAAGAGTGCGTCTCCCGCGATCAGGCTCTAGGAGTGTACTTCGTCCGTCGGATGTCGCGAGGCATGATCCAGCATGCTCTCGACGGCCACTTACCTTCCTGGGATACTGCTGTGTTGTTCACCTTAGCTATCGTCGTACAAGCCGCCCTCAATTGTCGCTTGGGAGACATACTGGCCGCCAACAATGCAGAAGAGTGGCCCAAGGAACAAACACCTTCGCTCACGTACGATGACGTGAAGTTGGTACTTGAAGGGGGCACTTCAATCGAAGACATCAAGGGCGAATGGACAATCAGGAATGCCAAAAGCAGCTTCGATCACTCTGGATATTTGCTCGCAACTTCCATTTCTCGAGCAGGATAGTTCAGCCAGACTGCTACATGTTCTCACGCGCAACGTGCTGGTATCCGCAAAACCGCATGTCTTCGTCTTGATGAGCTGTGTCGAAATGTCTGTAAGCGGCGAGTTGCTTGTAGTCCCCAAAAGGATCTTGCTCCTCGTCAAATCAGTCAACGCCGCAGCGAAGCTTGGCACTCGCGCGCTGATTGGGAAGGCAGTGGTGATACGTACAACCGCGTCTGTCGCCACGACCCCGAGCTTCAACGTCATCCGTCAATCTCACACCGTGTTCTTGGAAGGAGCTGGACGCGCCAGCGATGTCGAGATTGCTGGCTCCTTCAGCCACTTCTGGAACGCCTGTCTGCGAATGTTCATCGGCTCCGTGAACCGATTGGGTCCGGCGATATTTGGTCAGAACAACGAGCAACCGTTCGCGAAGCAGCTCGCTTTGTCAACTTGCCTTCCATGAGCTACGGCAGGCCTCGAGATCAATGAACTCAACCAGACTTCTCGAGTCAAGAACCTAGCACTGCTGGAACTGTGTACCCTTGCGAAGGATTTGCCACAGCTTCAGGCAGTAGCGGGGTCTTTCGATGACGCTCTCTCTGCTGAATACGCCACTATCAACAAGGCTATATGGGGCATCGACAACAACCTCATGTTCCTGAACGCGCAGGATGCGACATCGACCAAGGATGTCAGTGGCACTTCCTACTCCCTCGAGACTACCGCCGCGGTCATGAAGGATGCCGCCGACCACACGAACACATGGAGGGCGATTTCCATACCATCATCAGTCCGAAGAGCTAAGCCAGACTACTACATGATCTCGAGCGCAGCGTACTAGCATCTGTGGAAGTGCATGTCTTCGTCTTGGATAGTTATTTTTGGGAATTCGGGAAGCGGTGACTTGCTTGTAGTTCTCAAAAGGAACTTGCTCCTTGTAGATCTGGCGGATGATCCACGTACAAAGTAGCGGAACGGGCTCCACGTAAAATGAGCTAGACAACTACATGATTTCTCTGGCCACTCGTTTCAAGCTTTCAGATTGGATGTTTCTGTCCCGCATGGGTATTGGTAGCAGGGTGTGAGAAGTAGCGCGACAGTTAAGAACATTAAGAGCAAATGACGAAGCCATAATGTCTCTCGACCCATGTTCCACATGCCGCCTACACCAGAAAAACGGAGGCGCGTCTTTATTTGCCGAAGAGCATGTATGCGTCAGACACAGTCGTAACTTCTCAACCTTTAAGCACGGAAAGTCATGTCTACGGCAATCAACTCTGTAGCTTCTCTAACTCACACCACATGAGTCCATGTCTACGGCAAACATGTCGGTATCCAGAAGACCTTTGAGAGTATGAAGCGTTGGCCTTTACTTAAGTAAGGATATGTATCCAACAACCACACGTGTGACTTGCCAAACTCACAAGATACAAAAGCATGTCTACAGCAACCATGCTTGTGACTTCTAAGACTCGCCCTACTTGAGCGCATGTCTGCGGTAAAGATTTCAGTATCCAAGAGACTTTTTTAGACCTAGAGCTTTGATGATAGCGCCCCTCCCGATACCCATCAACATCGAACATCAAACATCTGCTTGAACACGGTATTAACCAGCACACCAGGTCCCATCTTCATCGGCACAGCGACCTCCTTCAACTTCCACAACACATCTCCTTCCCTCTCCTTGACCGGCTCTTTCCCTACTATCATCTCCACTGACCCGCTCTCGCCGTCATCACAATCTCTTCCCATCCTATACCAATACTCCGGCCAAGAATGTCCATTCCCGTCTTTTAGCCCCGTTTTCTCCACGATATGGCTTGCACGTGGTGAAATACCCAGAACTTGTACTCGCGAGCCTGAACTGCTTAGATGATACAGCATCTGTGCAGTATAGTGCTGCATAACCATCTCGTCCAGTGCAGCAAAGCCGACGGCACAGGGCTCACGATCTGGAGGAAAGTTGTCGCGGGTATAGTGGATATCTGGTGGGGATAGGAGGCGGAGGTGTTTCAGATGGGGGTGTGCGGCGATATGGGTCTGGAGAAGTTGTTAATTTTCGTTATCAGAGTTGTGGGGATATAAAAGGGTTGCTTACTAAAAAAATCTTCTGGTCGAATATCATGTCGGAGCCGGGTCGGTCTGGCACTGGATAAGAAAGTGGGTTGGAATCTCGGATCGGGTGGAGGGATTGGCGGGGGAAGTGTACGGCGAGGCCTTGGAGATAGGGGAGTGATTTCAGTAGTTTTTCCAGATCCTTCGGGGGGTAGAAGGGTACGCGGTCTGTGATCTGGCCGTCTATGCCGAGTTGGCGGAGGGAGGTGTGGCGGGCGATACAGGATATATCGACCATGCGTCCGTCTGCCATGTCGAGCCAAAGCTTTTCCAGGCTGTTGAAGGAGTTGAGGAGTGCTTCGACAGCTCCTATGGTGTATTCTAGTGGAGAAGAATTCCGAGCCATCGTAATGTTCAACTTAGTGAGGTTGCAAACGGGCGCAAGTACTGTCATGAGATCGACGATGCTCTCGCAACCCACGAGCTGAAGACATCTGAGTTTGGACAAGTCGACGTTGCCCTGCATTAGAGCTGCAGCCCTTCGCCCCAAGACCACCTGCTCCAGGCTCACCCGTGATAACTTGAGTCGAGGAGGCGCACTGCCACTTTCAAACGGCCCTCCAAAGATGTCCCAGTCTGGTCGTGCCTCTGGGCGGTCAGGATACGCCATTAGACTGAGGCAATCAGGACGTGTCACAATCCTGAGTTCTTTGAGATTCGGAGCGCTGCGCACGAGTAGTCCAGCCGCCTTGCATTGTTCGCTGCCCATGTCATCGGGCATCACGGTCAGCGACTCGATACTTGCAAGTCTAGAGGATATCCACGATTCGTGAGCGCCGTGTGCGTAGCTTACGTTGGCAGTACCAAGCCCCGAATTAACAAGAACATCGAGCCGCTTTATCTTCGTCTGATTCTGCAGCAGATGAAACATCATTCCTGTGGACAAATTGACTTCCCCGGATAGAGCGCATAATGCCCCCTTGGGAAGTTCGTTGATGATTGTCATGAGCAGTATCTGCGTGGGATAGTCGCATGCGTCGTACAGCTTCTCGGTGCCACCGCGGGTGATGGAAATACTCTTTACGTGGGGTATGACGCCGTTCTCGGGCTGGAGGAGTGTGTTCAGCATATCTGGTGTGACATTGTCCGACGCTATCGTAAGGTTCGAAAAAGCCATTGGCGTGATGATGTCTCGCCATTCATAGTTAACAAGACGAACAGCGGCATTGGTAGCTTTGTCGCGTATGGAGGCGAAGATGTTGGTTCTCATCTCCACTGGCAGGTTTGAGAAGCTAGCTGGGCCTGATGATTCGGTCATTTTGAATGGGTTGAAAGTGGGTGTGTGGTCAGTGGTGCCAACGAGGCGGTTGAGGTGACTGGGCCGCGTTTATTGCTAGTGGAGCGCGACAAGGTTTGGCTCCAAGGAGAATCGTGAGGTACTAGGCAGAATTAAAGGTGAAAGGCCCTTGAGGCGCTGACCCGAAGTATGAAGTACCCATTTCACACAGTACTGGCAGTGTTGTGTATAATGATCAAGCAAGCAGCGAGCTCTTTTATGAACGGTACTGTTCTTTTTAAGAGGGCCTAATTAGATAGGTATATAGAGATCTTAGAAGTTATAAGTTGCTTATCCATGTTGCGTTACTGGACTCAGAGTCAGAAGAGGGTATTATAAGGTGGTCTTACCGCTGCGTCTTTGTTGCTTGTACAACTCACACACAACTAGCAAGCAGCGACACAACCGAATATGATGTATACAAATGTGTAAATTCACTATCTGAAGAAGTAAGAAGAAGAACGCAACGGTATGCTGCAGTCTGTCGCAAGCATATCATCGCGTCACCCCACTCGAATCGACGAAAGATTGCTCTTTTCTTGTCCTTCCTCCTTCTTTTGTCTTTCTCTAAACCTCCCCATGCAAAACACTGCTTGCCCATCAACACCCATCGCAAACTCCAAAGCCTCCACCCAAACCATCATGTCTATCGCACTGAACCCGTCCTATACCTCGCCATCAATGCCAACACCCAGTTTAATGGTGTCGCACTGATTGGTATAGTCTCCTGCTCTTTCTTTCCGGGAGATACCTTATCGGCACTGTCCCGCTAATCGTCTCGTGAGCGTCTTTGTATTCGAGACTGCGTCGCTTCGTATCCTCGTGTCATATACACGAGCCTCGCGAATGTAGCCTCTGGGTCTAGTCGTCTTTGCGACGCCGGTCTTTTTTGCGCTCATGTCGTTCCTGTTCTTGTTTCCGTCCTCATCCTCATCCTCGTCCTCGTTCTCGTCCCCGTGGTTCTCATCGACCTCGCCTAAAGCTATCGCCTGTCCGCCCTGGACTTGGACGGGCTCCTACTCGCTCGCGATCTCTCCGGTGCCTTAGCCGGCGACTTGACCGTCTTCTTTGCCGGCGACTTTGTCGACTTGACAGGAGACTTGCCCCTTGCATTCGCCTTCTCCGTATCTGTCTCTTTCTCCTCTTTCATGGGCGACGCCGCCATCTTACTCAGCACGTTCTCGTTGAGAGATCCGACGGGCTTGCCGGCATTGCGCGTCTTGCGCTGACTTGCAGGTACGGGTTCGGATAGACGAGGCCCGTTGTTGGGTGCCTGCGATGGAGCCGGGGGCGCAAGACTGGCGGCGCTGACTGCATTCGTTTCATTGGTGCTGCCCATGGTAGGGGTGTTGTTCGGCTCCGCTTCCTCAGTCGGCGCAGGAAGTACCTCTGGCGGGGCGCCTTCGTTCTCAGCAAGAGACTGAGCTGTGCCGCTGACTTCAGTCGTCTCGTTTCCTTCGCGAGACGCAGCCACGACGTTCTCTGTCACCAACTCGTCCAGAGTCGGAGTCTGCTCATCACCCAAGTCAACCTTCGTCCTCTGCACCTTTGACGACTTCGGCAGTGACTGCAATAACCTAGGTGGCATCTGAGATGAACGAGGCGGCTCCTCACTGTCATCATCTGTAAAAAGCCGCTTCATAACCGGGGTCAGAATGATAGCAGGCTTGCGAGTAACGGCAATTGGAGTCATGTTCTCCAAAGCCAGAGTCTGCTCACCGCCAAGGTCCTCCTTCGTCCTCGGGACCTGAGATGGCTTTGGCGACGCCTCCTCATCGCCCTCAATCCCAATCTTCCGCTTGGTAGCTGGAGTCAGCTCGATGGCGGGGATATCCATATCGGGGATATCGATGTCGGGGATATCGATGTCGGGGATATCGCTGATGACCGGAGGCGGCTGCTTGTTTGGACTCGGCGAAGGCATGGCATAGAGATCATCGTTGCTGTGATCGCTTCCATCGATGATGGTATCGCCGTCAATGACGAGAGTATCGCCATGAGTGTTAGTCTCGCCTTTCGCTGCGTCTTGCTCGAGAAGAGCTGCTGCCTCCGCGCCAACTTCGTCGCCCAAGCCGTATGTGAAAGTGCCCGAGTTGTCCGCGTCACCCTCAAAAGAACTCCAGAAGTCTTCGATATCAGAAGCGTCACCATCGTCTTCTCCCTGTTCTTCTTGGCCTGGTTCTTGTGCGGCAAATTTGAATGCCGGTCCGCCACCGGGGGTCAGTAGAGTTCCTGTTGGAATGTCTGTGTTCTCGCCGCTGAGCCGAAGCTGCTTGATCGGTCTGGGTGTCTCGCCCTCATCATCAGACTTTCGCTTCAACGCATCCAAGCCTTCGATGTATGCTGGGAGCGTGATCGTCCTCGCGTTCCAGTCTGCGGTGAGTTTTTTGTGGTTCTTTGGCGTCGAGGTTGTATCGGGAGTGGTTGTGGGGCCTGACAATGTCGTGGGGATGGGTGTAGATGGGCTTGTGAGTCCGGCGACGGAGATGAGTCGTGGCTGAGTATCGATAGGATGGTTGGAATAGATCGCGCTCGATGCATTCTGCGTCTCAGATGGAGTGAGCGACTTCGAGGCGGGTGCAGCCATCTCTGTAGCTTTCGTACCGTCGATCTCCGACTTCAGCTTCTTCACCTCCGCCTCCAATGCCTCGCGACGAGCACCGTCCTTCTTCATCTGCTCTTTAAGCTCCTCATTCTCGTCGTTAAGCGCGGTCTGCACATTATCGTTGACCTCCTTCGCCTCCGCAGCAATGCCTTCCCACTCCTTGACCTGCTCTTTGAGCGCGGCAACTTCCTTGCTATGTCGTAGTCGCACCTCGTGGAAGTCTCTCTCCATCGAAGCTGCATCGGCTCTGCCCTTCTCTTCTTCTTCTCGGGACGCCTGCAACTGCATAGTCAGAGAGGCTGCGTTGGCTTCAGCCTCATCCTTCTCTTCTTGGACTTTTCCCACAAGTTCTTTCACCTGGGCCAAGCCAGATCCAGCGGTTTTAATGGCTTCGTTCGCACAACCCAGTTGCTCCTTGACTGAGAGAAGTTCCACGTTGACCGTCTGCGTTTCTTGACGCGCAGCTTCCAGCTCAGCCTTTAGCGAAGCCACTTGAGCTTCAACCGCCTGAGGCTCTTGACCATGAGAAGCCATTAGCGAAGCGACTTTGGCTTCAGCCCCATCGGCCACTTCTTGCACCAGCCGTAGCTGCTCGTCCTTGGAAGAAGCTTCCATCTTGGCGTCTACAGCCTCTTGCCGCGCCGCCCGAAGTTGATGCCCCATATCCTCCAGTGCATCTCGCTTTGGAGTTGATGAGTTGTGAGACGAGTTGGACATTCTACTCGGGTGCGCAGGCTTGCTCGTAGACTGCTGGAGCTCTTTGACCTGCGCATTGCTGCGCTTCAGCTGATCGCTCGTCTCCTTGAGTGCCTCCTGCAATTTGCGGACCACTTCTGGTGTTTGTGTAGGCTCTTCGCGCACAGGTGTCGCAAAGTCTGGAACCTCGTCGACCTGTGTAGTCTGACGCGCTCGGTCAGAGCTCGCCTTCTCCCTCATCTCAGACTCCTTCTGCTGCTTCTTCGCAACTTCCAGCTCTTTCCGTAGACCAACATTCGTCTTAAGCTTAATATGAAGCCAGTTAATAACGCGCCAAGTGATAGCCTTCCATGTGTTATGGTCGACTCCTGTTGGAGTCCTTGCGCCTTTCCAGATTCTCATCACACTTACAGTGCCCCGAACAGTCATGACGGAGTACAATGCGTATTCGAGGGCGCGATATTCGAGTGCGGAATTGGCCTTGTTCATGATAGTGTAGCCGGCGCTTACGATCCTGAACAGAGTTGGCGAGACGATAGAGTTCATTTTTGCGGCTGTGTTGTTGGAGGTGGCGGAAGCGATGACTGTTGATGTTGTGTTTGTGGTCTTCTTGATGGTGTTTGTCGCGGTCACTGCAGCGGTGGCGGCGGCGGTCCTGGCGAAGGTCGCAAAGTTGGCACTGACGCCTTGCAGGAGATCGGATATTTCCGGCGCAGTACGTAAAGGGGTAGTAGACGGAAACGTCTTCGCTACTTGTCACAGCGCTGGAGGATATGTTAATGATCGTGTGGGTGGGATGATGAGGCGGGGTTCGGACTTACGCTGATAGCGTGGCTGTGGTAGAGACCTTGTCGCGCAAGCGTTCGCTTGTTTGGTTGCGGTGTAGTTCCCTTGGGCTGTTTATCTGAACCTGAGCGTCTTCGATGCTACCGTGGTGGCGTCGTGGTGTTGTCGTGGTGTCGTCGCAGTGGGCTGAGAATATCCAAGATAGAGGGGTAGCAGAGTCGCGACTCAATGAATGCAAGGAAACAGAAAAACTCTTGTTTACACTCGCTAAGTCGCAATGGTGTGGGCTGACGTAACGGAAAAGTCACGTTGTTGGAAATTTTGGTCTTTCACTGATGCGATCGGGAGCCAAACAAAGGAACAAAGGGAAGAAGGGAAAGTCATAGCTATACTAGAGGGGACACACAGAATACAGAGGAGAGGCGGCTTTTACATCTGCCTTTTGCAGAAATAACATCTAGGAGGGAAGATACGTACTAGATGTCGCAACTGAACCTCGGGGTTGCCCACCAAGTTCCCCCAAACTCGCACTCCAGAGTCCCATTTGACGCCGCACGAGGCGCGCGCACCAGAACTTCCGTCTGAGCCATCATCATAAGCACAACACTTGCCATCAAAGACCTCATTTGCTCTTCTGCCCCCACCACGACTCTGCCTCCGCCGCTTTCCACTCATCATACTCTCCCGCCGCCCGTTCAATCACAGCCTGCTCAGCAGCCGCCTGCCACGTCTTCGCCAAATGACCGTTCTTGAGATCTTCCTGGAACTTGGCGACATCGGTACGGAAGCAGTTGTTTGCCAGCGTGAAGGCTGAAGGCCGTGTGTCTTCTGTGTTGCCGGCGCTGATCTTGGCGAGGAGAGCTTGGTGCGTGGTATTCTCGGGGAGCATGGAGATGAGTGTAGTTTGCTGCTCTGCGCTGAGACTGGTCCAGGCTGGTCCTTCAAGAAGCATGTGCTGCGATGTGTGAGCTCTTTGAAGTGTGAGTGGTGAGTGGATTGTGACGAAGACTTACGTAGATGTCGGCTTTGACTAGGCGGCTGGAGGAGTTGGTCGTGATGTAGACTGGATCGAAGACTTTGCTTGACCCTTTCTTCGTCGGGACAGCTTTGGGCGTAGGCTTTTCCTCAAACTCCTCGAACCGCTCTGGGGCTTTGCGGTTGCGCGAGGGGCGTGAGCTGGGTGTTGCTGCAGGAGCGGGTTTCTTGGCTGCTGTTTTCTTCGGGGCCGGCTTTTTGGGCGCAGGCTTCTTTGGAGCAGGCGTCTTCTTTTTAGTAGTCTTGGCTTTTGTTGCTGAGCTTGTACTCCTGGCTGCGCGTTTGGGAGGCGGTGTACCGAAGGCGGGCTCTTCGTCGTCATCATCGACTTCTTCGTGAGATCTCTTCGGGCTCTGCTTAGATGCGCGTTTAGCGCCCATGTTGGATGTCGGCATAGTAGTAGATGCAGGCGCCAGCGCCTGCCGAGGTAAGGATAGAGACTCGATCGATGGCATGATGGACGAGTCGTTTTCTGTTGTTGAGATGGCAGAATTTGGGACTTGGCTCGGCAGGCTTGAGGGGATGGGTGAGACCTGCTCAGATGGAGAAGAGGGCGGCGAAGATAGAGGTGATGAGTCTGGGTCAGAGTGGTGCATCTTGGCTCGTTTGTTTGGTGTTGTTGGAGGTGGTGCGGTGGTTTGCTCTGATTTTGGTGCGGGCGGAATAGGTGTCGGTTGATAGTCGTGTGGAGAGGTGAGTCGGGTGGCGGACGAAGGTCTATGGTTGTCAATCGAAGCTGAGGGAGACGACATATGGGTTGCCAATCCGCGTTGAGCTTTCTATTGTCGGACGGTGGATACGGGCGAACGATAGGCTATTGGACCAGGCGACAGTCACGTGTGAAAAGAAGAATGTCGGCGCGCGAAGTGAATGTGGAGGTCGTATTGAGCAGTTGCACAATGGTAGTCACGCGCTTGGCAGACAAGTCGTGAAGACGCCGCACGGTACATGGTGTAGTGAAGAATGGGAACGCACCTTACTGGTAACGACATGTTGTCGTTTGGACTGGTTGCAGAAGTTTGATGTCGAACTTGAGCAAGTATTTGCTTACAAGACGTCGTAAGTGCAAGTGACTACCTGGGTAGGTTGGTATGAGCGGCAGCTAGCAAAATGCCGGTGCGATGTCGTTTGTGTTGAGGCAGTAGCTATCGCGTTCCGCAAGGCTGATCTACCAATGGCTAGGGTCGGATTCTACTGGGAAGCTTGAGCATCGAGCGACTTGAATCAGGGCTGAAAGCGCGTCCGCCACTCGATGCATGGAGTGAAGGTGTTGAAAGGGTACGCGAGGATAGAAGCTCGGCTCCGCATGGTGGCTGGGGCGCTGAGTTGAGGTTGTACCAGATGTACTGTCACAAGGATACCGGTATTACTTCAGTCAGTCTCTCTGGTCTCGGGATTTGAATGAGCGCGTCTGTAGAGTCACGAATGACAGTCCATTGAAGGGTCACGGCATGCTGGTTGTTCGGTGATGGCCGTTGGCGCGTCCGTGCGCTTTCCCGCGCGACCTTTCCGCATCGTCATCTTTGCGATCTGGTATCATCAGCCTCGACACGTATCCCCTATACGCGACTACTCACCCTCGGGCCTAACTTTGCGCTCGTCACATTATCTGACGACATTGTACACTCACCAGCTGTAATTCTCCGCACCCTCAACCGCCACCATGATCAAACACACCATAATATCGCGTCTCGATGGTCAGTAACTCAGCTGTATTGAAGGCTGCACACGTGCTGATACATGTCTAGGCCTTCACTTGGTAGCCTCGGTCGATAATAACCAGGTAACGGCGCCTCTCGAGCTGTTCACGTAGCCTGAACATAGGACTCACATTTCCCAGAACGATGCCGAGTTCATCGAGGCCACGAACAAAGTAAAGATGTTACAGCGACGCCTAAACCGTAACGCCGAACAACAAGCGAGTATAGAGAGCGGAAACTACACATTCCAGTATGCGCATTGCCCCTGCCTTTACATGCGGAGAAGCATCCTCGATCACATGCTAACGCAACTACCAGCTACATAATCGAAGGCGACCTCTGCTTCCTCTGCATATGCGACCGCTCCTACCCGCGCAAACTCGCTTTCACATACCTCTCCGACCTCCAACGCGAATTCACCACCACATACCAACCGCAACAGTACCTCTCGCCCACATGCCGACCGTACGAGTTCGTCGGGTTCGATCAGTTCATCCAGAGCACAAAGAAGACATACCAGGATTCGAGGGCGACACAGAATCTGGACAAGTTGAACGATGAGCTGAAGGATGTTACAAAGGTCATGACCAAGAACATTGAGGATCTGCTGTATCGAGGAGACAGTCTGGAGAGGATGGGCGATATCTCGAGTCGGTTAAGGGAGGACAGTAGGAAGTACAAGAAGGCTGCCGTGCGCATCAACTGGGAGTTGTTGTTGAAGCAGGTGAGTAACGGGCAGACGCACGTCACGGTCATAAACTTGGAATGCTAACGATGCGCAGTACGGACCTATCGGCGGACTGGCCTTCATCATCATCGTCTTCATCTGGTGGAGATTCTTTTAGACACATGCAGCGAGTCGGCACTCAGCATGTACCAAGGACAAGGAGGACATTTTAGGCACCGTCGGCGTTAGAGGCGCATACATTGCCGTAAAAAACGGCGAAAGATACACAACAATACCCAAGCTTCGGCTTTTCGTATACATTTCTGAACAAAACCTGGCCCTATAAAAGATGTGAACGCTTGCGCTGTCCAAAAGACAAGGATACCCTCCCAAGCCTCTAGCTGTGATTGGCTGGAAGCAAGTCGTGAGCATTACATACCTCGCTAATCCTTCACACCATGTCTGCCCCACTCCACACTACCAATTTCGTTTTGCACCTTTTTCCTTTTGCCAGTCCAGCACACTTCGACGGATACTGCAGTGGACGACAGTGGACAGACAGGACTATACGGACAACACTATGCCATCGGGCTATACGACGCACGCCATGTGAACACCCCACCGAACTCGGACGCACGTGCCGGTATCAACACCATGACGACATGATCAGATATCGAGGGGATGTCTTATAAGAGGAGGGGGAGGGGAAATGGAGCTACAGGAGCAGACTGAGACCTTTGACCGGACTATACGGCCCACACCAACTGCCCTTCCTCTCTAGTGAGAAACAATGGAGCCACCTGTTGTCAATATCGCTGTGGGTTGGAGGAGGCACGGGTGGAAAGACTGTCAAGATACGATGGAAAGATCGGGTCAAGAGGAATACATGCCTACTTCGAGCAAAGAGAGTGGAGATATGGCGATATTTCGGGCGACCATGTGGACGAGACATGCCACCGTTCCCATATCCATTCACACCCGTGACGACCTAGCTTCGGAGTTCCGGTGCTCAAGGACCCCGGGCCATAGCCTTTGTCGTCGGGGATGGCTTCATCGGGATAATTACGCGATAAACTTCCACGTCTGGGAACTACTACGTTGGACTGCATGACTGTCATCGTCGAAGGAAGGCGCATTCGGAGTGCGCGATAAACTTGCTAGTACTGGTCGTGGTTGACCATTTCGTTCATCCTCGGCCAACCTAGGAAAAATCCAAACACCCCGGAGCCTACATCGACGTTAGTACTTTGCAAGTATTTAAGTTGCTGTAGTCCGCAGACCTATTCGCATCACAGACAGCACCACTCCCAATGACATTCTCAAACACACCAATAACAATGACAAAACCGCAACTCGTCCTCATTCCAGGCGCCTGGCACACACCCTCCGCCTTCTCCCTTCTCACTACCGAGCTGCACGCTCTTGGGTACACAACGCACGCGCGCCAACTCGCCTCCGTCGGCGGCACAACACCTACCACCGACCTCTCAGCCGACATCGCAATCGTTCAGTCCATGATCAACTCCGCCATCGGCGACTCCGGGAACGACGTCGTCGTACTAGCCCACAGTTGGGGCGGCATCGTCGCCAGTAGCGCTCTCGTCGGCTTCGGAAAAACCGAGCGAGAAGCCGTAGGGAAAAGAGGTGGAGTAGTGAGATGTGGATATATCGCTGCCAGCATGCTGCCCGAAGGTGTCAGCCTAATGGACTCGGTAAACCACACCTTTCCTCCTTGGACTCAAATTTCCGGACCGTATATCCACGCTCTCGACCCACATGTCTTTTACTCCGACCTTCCTCCCGACGAACAGACGCACTGGTTTTCGCAAATCCAACCGCATTCGCTGGCGAGCGCTTATGCGAAGACGACGGGGGCGGCGTGGAAGAAGATTCCTAGTGCTTATTTGGTTTGCGAGGAGGATAGGAGTATGCCGGTTGTTGCGCAGGATAAGATGATTGAGATCGCAAGGGCGGAAGGTGGGGAGGTGCAGGTGACGAGGCTGGCGTGTGGGCATAGTCCTTTTCTGAGCCGCGTGCAAGAGACGGTTGAGTGGGTTAGGAGGGTCGCTGGGGAGGACATTTGAAGAGGTGGAATACGGAAGGGGTTGGGTTTTCAAAAGGTCTGGGTTTTGGAGCTCAGCCGTCGGTCTGCGGTGTCTTGCAGCCGTTTCCACGCTTATTCTTCCCCGATCTGTGAGCAACTGTTCCCATACACGTCGGTATCAATCGTCAAGCCTTTGGACGAGGAGCGCATGCTCCGACCGAGACAACAAACCCAACGAAGAATCCGCGGAACCGGCAGGCTCTCGCCGACTTGCGGTCACGAACGGCTTAGCCGATGGTCTCAGGACTTAGGCTAAGCCATACGTTGACCGCACGTCGGCGATGGATCTGCGTATAATTGGTGATAGTGTCAATGATCTATGTCCAAAGCACCGCGTATTTACATCGAGCGTAAACCGCGATGCTTTGGGCATAGATCACTGGCATAATCATGCGAAATCATGGATCTGCGTATCTCGTTGATTTTACGGATTCTTGAAAGAGCGCGTTTAGGAATCTGTGGCGTTTTGTTTTTTAAGAATTCATAGAATCAACGGACATTAACAGTCGACCTGAACGCTACGATCACGAACGGCTTAATCGATGGTTTCGTCGAGCTTTCGACTAATCTGTGAGTTGTTGGTGACCAAACGTCGGCGAGGCGTTCTGCCGATTTCGTTCATCTCATGGGTGCTTCTGCTCCACTATACCAAGCTTTAGGTACATTGGAGCACAAGCATCCATGAGATCAACGGACATCGATAGTCGATTTGGACGATGGTTGTCCCTAGGGATGCGCACACGAAAAGGTCCTCTACCACACTCTCCACGCATCAGAACAGGCTTACCAGCCATCGCAAAACCCCCACGCTTGCTATCTTCCGACGACCGCACGATCCAGTAACCAAACGGGCGCACACTTTACGTATCGGAACTCCTCCCCTCCCCCATTCTTGTAAATTATATCAGTGGAAATACTGTATGGTAGGATATCCATCAATGCTGAATAGATGGCTATCCTAGCATACAGTATTTCCACTGATATAGTTTACAAGACTGGGGTAGTGTGTAGTGTGAGTAGACCGCACACCTTTCATACCTTAATTATCACCCCAATCTTTTAGACTTTGTCAGTTGCAGATTGCTACAGCAGCCTTCAACCTACGAAATCTTAAAGGTTGGCGTT